TCTTCCTTGCCCCACTCTCTCTAAGTTCATACCGATAAAACACAATGGAGAGGCAGCGGAGCTGCCACAACACGCCACCCATCATCGCCACTTGCAGCTCCGCCATACGTTGACATCATCACCAAACACCACTTCATTTGTTTTCTCTGTTGATTTCGACCAGAACCCAACCAAAAACGAGGCCGAAGGCTACCAGAGCAACCTCCGGCCACCACAGTAGGTCGCAGCTTTCAGCCAAAACACCTCAAGAACAAAGTAAAAAAGCATCCCTTTATGTCTTTACCCTTTTTCAAGAAATCTTGATTACAATATGTAAAGCTTTTTCATTATTGGGTTCTTCGTGATGATTAAATCCCATCTTAGCCAAAAGCAAAAAAAGTAGCCTCTTTTTTTCTGTTGATTTGGATTAGGTATGTGATCTGTTAGAATTCAATTGGTGGTAATGTAAATGGGTTCTCTTGAAAATGGAGTGTTGCCATTAAAGAGGGATCCGTTACTCAAATCTTCATCTAGAAATAAGAGAAACAATTCATTTGCGCAGAGACCTGGATCGAAATTTGCAAGAGTTATGGTTTTAAAGAAGTTTGATTACTTGCAATGGATTTGTGTTGTGGTTGTGTTCATCTTCTATATGTTCGTATTTCAAATGTTTTGCCTCTTTCTAGTGTCGAAAAAGACGGTGGAGAACAAAGTACAGAGGTCCAAGCTTATGGAGCAATATACAGATGGTCAGGATCCAAACAGTAGTTGTTTGATTAAACGAGAGAGAGAGAGAGAGAGAGAGGTGACCCTTTATTAAATAATTTTATTTTTTTTTAAATAACAAAATGGTCCATTTTTTGTGAAATGATGGAAATACCCTTCACTTAACGGCCAAAAGCTAACGGAGTTAGCGAAAATGACAATTTGTTAAAAGTTTTGAAACCACAAGGACCATCTGTGAGGTTTTTTGAACTTAAGGACTAAACTTGATATTTTCGAAAACCACATGGACTATTTTTGAAGTTGTCTTTGTTTTTTAAATAAGTTGTTTTAATGAAATAAAAATGGGCGATGTACTACATATCTGTTGTACTCTAAGTTGGTTTAAATTGTATTTTGGTTGAAAATACCATAATTTGCTACATTTTTTAAAAACATAATATGAAAAATTAAAATAAAAATAAGAATCTTTTCGTATAATAAATTACGCTCAAATCTAATAGGTTTTTATAGGATTGTTTTATGTAAAGTGATACATCTGAATGACGATAGATTAAATATTAAAAAAAAAAAATTATTAAGTTACATCTCTTTGTCATTTATGTAATATGTTAATAATTTATATATAGATATTAAAGAAGGATCAACATTAGGAATAATGAACATGCTGGTATTTTAGTACAAATAGTCCTTGTTTTATAGTTGTCTGTCTATTTTTGGTTTTTTTTTTTCGTACTTGTTTTTTGGGCAGTTTCTGCCATTTTGCTTTTATATTAAAAGTGGGAGGAGTCAATTAGTATCCAGAACACGTGTTATATCCCCTCTTCCACCTTCCCGACTTTCAATCAGATGTCTACACATTTTCCACCGTTTAAGAGTCCCTCGCTTTTGGCACTTCTTTCAATCGGTTTCTATCTGATAGTAGACCATTCCACCGTCCTCTCACAACGTCGTGACTTATCGGCTTATGCTTCTGGATCAACGCCCCCAATTACAAGATAATCTTTAAAACGATTGAAAGAAGAGCCAACAGTGATAGCAGGTCCAGTGGAAAATGAGATAATCTTTAAAGCAGTTATCATCGGAGGCCGGAGAAGGATTCGACAACAAATGGTTTAATAATTAATAATATATTTTTATTCACTACACTTTTAAAAATCTAAAATAAGTATAAAACCAAAAATACTGTGTATATTCTTTATGTAATAATATGTATGTTTTTGGTAAAATCCAAACACATCTAATCTTAATTAGATGGGGAACACCTGCGTTGCGGGGGTCGGATGCGATAATATTTTCTGTTGTTTGTTCTTTGAAAATGTTTATAGTTTGAGTTGCTCATTCCTTCCATCTTTAACTGATGTGTAAACAAATAAAAAAATAAGAAATAAAAAAATATTAATGAATCTTTAAGCAAAACTAATAAAGTGACAATTAAATGAAAACATAGGAACCTATAATATCACAAATAACCAATGGAAGTAGAGGGACCAAAAAAGATAAAAATTAAGCAACTTTAAAATGACCCAAATATAACTGAAGGACCATTCCTACCAAAAAAAATATTGATATGACTAAATACTAATAATATATAATAAAAGACGAAGGTTATGAAAAATTCAAACGAAAATGAAAGGGTTGTTTGTGAACAAAAACATAAAGGTGAAGATGAATTTTGTAATGAAAAAAAAAATTCCAATCAATCAAAACAAAAAACAATGTATTTTTACAATTTTTACAATTTTTCATAACTTTAATATATATATATATATATATATATATATATATATATATATATATATAAGGCCATAAAGTGGGGATTAAGATGCTTAAATAAGGCCATAAAGTGGGGATTAAGATGCTTAAATAGGGTGAAAAACCCCGAAAAACTTAGATCCAAAGCAATTAGGGTTGCATGAACACATAGGAATGTTGTTGTGCTAAAAACCTATCAGCTTCTTCCTCTAGACTTAATGACTGCATATATCCTTTATCTGAAGTCATTGATTATGATAACCTTCGTTCTATTTATAGAGCTTACACTTTATCTATATCTGCACAAGAAGAACCAAGAAATTACAATGAAGTTGTTAAATGGTTGAATGGCAACAAGCCATGAATAATGAATTGTAAGCCTTGGAGTCAAACAATATATGGATTATTGTTCCTCTTCCAAAAGATAGAAAACCATTAAGTTGAAAATGGGTATACAAGATTAAAGGAAAGGACAATGGAATAGTGGATAGATTTAAAGCATGGTTAGTGGTAAAATGGTATAATCAACAAGAAGGGGTAGACTTTCTGGATACTTATTCACCAGTGGCTAACCTTGTTACAGTCAAATTACTCTTAGCCTTAACAGCCCAAAACAACTGACCTATTCTTCAGCTAGATGTAAACAATACATGTCTAAATAGGGATATAGAGGAGGAGGTATATATGTAATTACCCCAAGCACATTCTGATAATTTTCTTTCCTCATCTGGGTCCTCTCCAATGGTCTATAAGCTTCAAAAATCATTATATGGATTAAGACAAGCTTTTAGGCAATGGTACTCAAAGTTTTCAAGTTTCTTAATCAGTTTGCGTTTCACACAATCCATGTCAGATTACTCTTTATTTTTCAAAGGCAGTGATTCTTCATATGTTGCTCTACTTGTTGATGTAGATGACATAGTTATCACAGGTGCTTCTACAGATGCCATACAATTGGTTAAAAAGGCTTTAAGTGCAAGATTCAAGTTGAAAGATTTGGGAAATCTAAGGCATTTTTTGGGTCTTGAAATTTCTAGAAACAAAAGTGGTATCTTCATATCACAAAGGCAATATGCTCTTAAACTTTTATAAGATATGGGTTTATTAGTTGCAAAACCAACCCAACAACTTATGGATCTGAAGTACAAGCTATCTAGTTTTGAAGGTGATCTCTTACCAGATGAATTTCAATATAGAAGACTCATTGGTTGCCTCTTATACTTAACAATAACCTAACCTGATATTACTTATGCAGGACACAGATTAAGCCAATTTTTAAATAAGCTTAGAACACACTATTTACATGCTGCAACTAGTCTTCTTTGGTTTATAAAGTCAAATCCAGGTCTAGGCTTTTTTTCTCAAACAGATCATCACAATTGAGAGATTTCATTTATGTTGATCGGGTAGGGTCCAAAGGAACAATAAGATAAATTACTGGTTTCTATGTCTTTATTGGAGAATCACTCATTCCTTGGAAGTCTAAAAAGCAAAACACCATTTTAAGGTCCTCGACTGAGGTAGAATACAGGGCTATTGCAGCTGTCACATGTGAATTAATGTGGTTAAGACACTTATTAAGTGATTTTGCAGTAAAACAAAATGAACCAAATATGATATTCTATGATAATGAGTCAACAATACAGTTAACATCTAATCCTACGTTTCACGAGAGGACAAAGCATGTAGAAATTGACTACCATTTTATCAGAGATAAATCATTGACAAGACTATCAAGTTTCTTCCTATACGAACCCATTTCCAACATGCAGACATGTATACTAAACCATTATCACGTGCCAAGCTCTTACCTTTAATGTCCAAGATGTTCTTGAAAAGCATTTTTCAACGGTTATCTTGAGGGGATATTAGGGTTATTAATGTAATTTAACATTGAGACAGTTGCTAGAATCATCTGATATGAGTTTGTTAGGTGTATGTTAGATCAAAGGCGTATTATAACTTTTGTGTGTGTATGTGTGTGTGTGTGTATATATATATATATATATATATATATATAATCCTTAATCAATAATGAGAAATTAAGCTCCCATCTCACAATTCATTTATGTTCATACAATTTGATAATAATAAGCGTTTTTATGATAAATTTCGGCCACTATCCTTGTATGATGTCGAACCTGGAGCTACTTGCATAAAGTCCACCACTGATAGATATTGCATGTTGTGGTGCAATACTAATATGACAATCCATCAACGAATTGTATGTATTTGTACGATGAAGTATAAAAGGTAAAAATATAAGGTTTCAAATTTTTATTTTGACTATTAAACTGCTATATGTAGTTAACTCGTTGGATCCATTGAGATTCAACTCATAAACTAATACCGAATTCTATTATGTAGTTTACCAAATCTAAAATAAGGAAAAAAATACAATTATGGTGTGAAATTCGTTACGTTCTCAATATTATATGCAATCATATGTCATTAATTTCCATTTAAAGTTCACCAGCTTGAGAATGACATGCATAGGATACCCACTCTATAGAGCTAACAATAAAATGCACAAAAAGTTTTGGTCAAAATGCCAAAGATGAGACGGAATAAACAACCGAAGCGACACCAAGTGCTTTCAACGTAGTCATCATGGGCATCTTTCCTTTGTCACTCCTCAACAACATGGCTTCATATATTGGCCAACTATTTATCACTCCAAACCCAGCTATGAATAATTGTGCAAATAATTCTTCAAATCCACCGTTCTTAAGAACGTGTATTGCACCCATCAAGAAAGCTAATAAGTTGACAACTGCTGCTATTGAAATCGTCAAGAATAATGGCGATTCAACCCCAAATTCAAACAAACCTGCCTCGTAACGCTTCTTCAGATCATCATCCAAAACCTTGCTGGTAACATTGAATTCCATCGTTGACAAACCAAGAGACTTGAGCACCCAATCGACCATTGAAAATGGGTAACTCGAACATCCCAAAGCCAACCACATTCGTGTACTATTCCTCCATTTTACAAACGTTCCTCCAGCCACCAGAAATTCAAAAAGACTTTTTGCATATGCTCCAAGGAAAAGAAACGCATATAATGGAAACCAAGTGTCTGAAACCTGAAAATATATCACCAAATTTCCCTTTATTTGACTTGTTAATCAACAAAATCTTTATTAATTGAAACAATGAATAAGTTCACATACCTTTGGGAATATTGAGTAAGAGTTTATAAGAGCTAGTTGGGGTAAGAACGCATAGATGACGATTGGAATAGCCCAAAAAGGTCGAAAGTTATAGTGTGCATAACATAAGGCATGAATAGGATTCATATACTTAAACCCATATGTTATGGGATTGTGTTTAGACGTTACCATTTCGAGAAATCCTACGAACCATCTTTTTGATTGGAGTAGGAGATCACTAAGCGCCATTGGGGAGTTCCCGAGGAACGATGGTCTTTCTGGGTCACAGAACACAGACGTCCATCCTTGACATTGCAGTCTGAAGCTCGTATAAATGTCTTCTACCAATGAACCATACCTAAATCCCATCTGCAAAACAACAAAAGTCACAGACTTGCTATGAGAATCCATAAAAGAACGAAATCAAAGGAAACCACTTTATAGATCGCACCTCTAAACCCCATTTGGTATTTTCCTCATACTGACAACCTGCAACACGGTGTGCTACTGCTAATATATCGTCAGATTTCATCGATTTATTTCCAAGACAATGTGTTTTTGCTTCTTTGATGTTAGAAGGACCAATGGAAGCTGGACTTCCAAGTAGGGCTTGTCGTTTGAAGAAGCCACCACTCCCTATAAACATCGTCCCACAAATACCATCCATTCCCATAGGAATCGTTCGTATCTCAGGCAAATGTTCAGCACCATAAGTGTCGACCTTGTTAATGTCATGGAAGCATTGAGGAAATTGAACGAGGGCAAGATTTGGGTCAACTTTAGGATCCAAGTAATGACATAAAGTATAAAGTGCCGTTTTTGGGTTGTTTGAGTACATGTCACAATCTAGGACTAAGAAGATCGGTGCATCTGTTAATGTCGCGGACACACGAATCTACAAAAAAAAATGTACATGTTAAAATAATGATCGATATTAATTTAAGAAAAAGTGTAGGAGATAAGTGAAACGTACTACACTGTTTAGGGCTCCACCCTTAAAATTATGGTGCACAGACTTATTTTTCTCTCGTGAAACATAGATAAGATTCGGCAATGGATGGCCCGTAATGTCTTTGTCTTCATTACTTTCTAATAAAACCTGTTTTTGAGAAAGAAAATGTTTAAACAAATACGTCTTGCTTTTGTTATCATATTGAAATCAAAATTTTGTTTATATTGTATCTTGATTTATGAATAGGGTCAAGAAATTAAACCTCAACGACTGCAGGATGATTTTGTGGTGTGAATGTGGGTGTCCATTTATCAAGAGCTTTCAACCAACGTTCATCGGTGATTAGATTAGGACTAACGGTTCCAGTATCAACAACCTTCTCAATTTTGGCTTTCATGGTCTCATACATCACCTTCATTAACACAAGAAAAAAAATTAGTTTCTTTCTCAACATACTACAATAATTAGTCGCACACATAAATCTTAGGTGTAGCACGTTGAAAAAATTACACTACACCGAAATTTTTCTCAAAAGATATCCACTACTTCTAAAAAATTGAAGGGTTGTACGGGCTATCATGTGCTCAGTAGTAGATCCACCCATGTTATCAAACCACTTGCAACCACACCAGACTACTATTACAATATTGAACTTTCGTGGTGTTGTACGTGATTCATATTTTTGCCAAAATAATTGTGGTGCGGTTTGTAGTTTTTAACTAAAAAACCACAGTTCAAACACACATACCGCATCTAAAAACAATATATGTTGATCATTCTTAGTTAACCATTACATTTTTAGAAGAAAAATGGTGAAATTTCAAGGCATAAGGACAAATTAAGGCAATCAGTGTTTTTTTGACAAATTAACCATGCTAGAGTATTTTAATCTTAGGCGGGTCATTATTGCTTAAGTTAATTAAATATTATTTTGAAAGAAAGACACAATTATTAACATTTATGCGCTTTGCCTTTTAACTAAAAACAATTATTATATAGGTCTTAATAAATATGGAAGGGAAGTGATTCGTACACAACAGTTTTTTGCCGTACACAACAATTTATGCATTATAGAGTTGTACAATACAACACTTTAAAGCACAAATTGTTGTGTATGGAAAAAAAATATTGTGTACGAATCAGTTCCCAATATGGAAGTTTGAAGCAATACAAATAAATGTGCTGCTAAAAACCGAATTTAATAGGGACTTTTTGGTCATTATATAAGCTAGGATATTGTCTATCTAAACTGGAGGCCGGCTTAATTTATTTATCTAAAAATAAGCTAGGATTTTAAAATTTATAAATAGATATGGAAATGGGTGATCTCAATCTCATATTCATTTATAAAGTTATTGGGTTATAACCCGTGGAAACCACGGTTAATATATATATATATATATATATATATATAAAAATGCCAAAAAAAAAACTTAAGATATTGTCGATTGTAAGTAATTATAAATTAATTTATTGAGTAAAATAAATATAATAATGTTATTACGATATGATCTTGTATTTTTAAAATTTGAATTTAATTTGATTTGTTACCAAAATAAAAAAAAAATTATAAAAATTATAAAAAGTATCACATATCAAAAAGACATTCTAAAAAACTGACACTTATAATTTTTAAGTTTCATTTATTAGGGTAAATATTTAATATTATACCATTTATGATTTTAGTAACTCAAAATATAGCTGTTGGAACTGTCATTACCTAAAACTCATTCCCAACGAGATGACATCCAAAAGATGATTTGATTTTTGAATAAATTCAATTTCTAATTACATCATCAAGTTTAATCTAAAAAATATTGCGTTAATATAATTATCACCATAAAAAATTTATAATATCTGAATTTCATAATAAAGAAATACTAAACATAGACATTAAAAACAATATTAGAAATTACATAACAAAATGTTATATTTATACTATCACATAAAATATTTTAATATAATTTTGAAATCATATATTAATAATAAAAATCCAAGTATAATAAAAATATAAATGGTTTAGGGGCGGGACCAGTAAACTCGACCGGATATAACACTATATAATCGGACGGATATAACCAAAATGCCATTATCATCTCAAAATTACAAAAAAATGAAAAATGTCCAATATCCGATCATATAACTATTTACCCATACCAAAAGTTTTAGTTTTGGTTTTTTGTGGGGTTCTTTATTTTTGTCATCCGTGTTTATAAGATTATTATTTCCTAAACAATAAATAACGATAAACAATTAAAAATCAAGAACCAATATGCTAAATTTAAGCATTTATGTTAATGAAACCGGAAAATCCGTTCGCACTCTCCGTATAACGTAGTTTTGAATTTTCATTACACGGTTTGCGAAAATCATTTAAGTAAGACAATTAACGTACACCCTTCAATCATGGCCTATTAAAAAAGCAATCATGCTTTTCAATGATATGATATTTAAATAATAAAATGAAAGAAAATGGATTTCACTTTATATAAGTCCACTATTTTTCAGTTACGACGAGAAAGAAAAACAAGAGAAATCAAATCGTAATTCAAAAGAGAAGGGTGGATAATAATTAATAACGCACCTTGATTTGATATGCTTCAGGGAAGAAAAATGAATCACTTCCGAAGTAAACTTCTGGAGACCTGTCCATTATATCGTACTTCCTGCAATATGGCAACCAATGTTTTGCAAACTTGGCAGCCTCCATGAACGCAAACAGAGTAAGCTGCGACCCTCCATCGTCCGACACATATACCGACAACTTTTCCGTTGGATATTCATAAGCCATCACAGACAAGGCGGTGTTAATCACCCTGACTGGTGGTTCCCTGAAAGGATCTGCCGTACAAACCACCACATCAAGCCCCGGGTAATCGCTCTCTTTTACCACCTTTGGCAGGTTCTCCGGGAAAACCTTCCGCTGGATCGGATTCAGGAGATAAGCCTGCCATGTTGCCCATACCAATGCTAACACAACATCTGCTAGCAGTAGGAAAATGGTGGTGAAGGAAGGATGGTAGACTAGGTTATAACAATGGCGATATACGAGTGCAAAAATGGCGGCGGTGTAAACGATGGTGTAAGCTCGATTGAACCATCTTTCCGGTGAGGGTTTCCGAGTGTTAAGGGGTGCTTCCAACATGGCGGCTTTAGTGGGGGTTTTCGTTTTTAGTTTGGGAGTTGCAAGTAGAAAAAAGGTGTTTGGGTTGGTATTTATGATGGTGGATTGCATATCTTGATTTTATTTATTTTATTTAGATTTGTACATGATAAGTGTCCATACGATTAAAATATTATTTAATATTGTACGTCCACATCGTTCTTCATAATTGTTTCAAGAATTATAATTTATAAACATGTTTTATTCGTATGCTCCGAAATTATAAAATACATCTTTTATCCAACTATGTTGCTAATAAAAAGGAACTAAATACTACGTAAATTGTCAACGATCATAAAATATAGATTCTCGACACAAATTTTAAATGTCATCTTTCCATCTTCATTTTCTGACACAGTTTTTAAATGCCATCTTTCCACTTTCATTTTTAAATTATGTCAGAGTTATTACACAATTAATATTACAATTTACGAAGATTACATAGATCTTATTCAATTTTATATCTGTTTATTTTTTTGGACAAAAAAGCAAGCATTGTCCTTATTACACAATTAATATTACAAGAATTATCCTTGCTTTGAAAATTGTCTATGTTTAGATAACATGTTCAGAATAGTACCCGTAATTCAAAATATTTGATTTTATTATAAATTTAATCCAAAATTTTAAAAAGATTTTATAAAGACATATTGTCTTTAGTATTTTCCCTTTTTTGATTTTGTTGTTTGGTCCAAAATTTAAAAAAATAATAATAATAATTAATTTTTTTACTTCTAGATCCATCCGTATGATAAACCATTCTATATTTCTCTGACTTCAATTCTGATTAGTTAATTAGTTTGAAAAAAAAAATGTAAGATTGGTTCCTATGGTTTATCTGTTATTTTGGTCCAAAAAAGTTTAGACTACCATCAATAGTTTAAAAGTTTAATCTTGTTGCAAGTTTTGTTGAAATTTTTCAAAACCTTTATAAATATATGTATATTTGCTTTTGGTATTTCCCTATTTCAAAAAAAAATTTTAAAATATAAAACAAGAAAATCTCTCTCTCTCTCTCTCCATTCTTCCATCACCATCACCCGATTTTGATATTTGAGTTCCATTGAAGACCTTTGTCTTCTTCCTATCTTCAATCATCAGAGCTCTGTCACCCAAAAAAACCTATAAAAACTCATCACCACCTTCGTATCAGCAACTTCAATCACAAAATCTCTCACACAAACCTCCACTATAATGCAAAATCAAGGGACGGCATTATAGTGGGAGTTCCATTCACACCTCCAGTTAAACGAACCATTAATTTCCATAAAAAAATATAATACTTGTTCCATTCAAGTCAGAAAATATGAAACGATTTCCATTCAAACCTGTTAAACAAAACAATGATCTCCCACATGTTGAACAAACCCCAAAAAATTCAAAATCGACATAGAGGGAAAAAAAACAAGAAAATTTCTAACAAACTAAATCGGACATCCAAGAATGTTCTAACCTTCCAATTTCTTAATTATATACACACTTATGTGTTTGATCATTATAAACCTAAATAACCAAAAGCCTTGATTGTGTGCTCATCACAACAAACCCTAAAAAAATCAAAACCTGTAAAATCATAATGGAAGCTTTTAAGCACCACAAATTTTTTTATTGTGTGTTCATCAAAGATTCAATTGTGTATTCGTCCTAGAAAACTCAACAGCTTCGAATGTCTGGCCATTGAAGATTCGACATTAGCGATTTTATCACAAGTGATATATATCCACTTCATCATCTAACAATGACGCAAAGTGCTAGTGGGTTAATTCTAGAACCAAAAAAAGAACAATCGGTAAATCAATCACATATCTCGAAGAAATCAGAACCAATATATATATATATATATATATATATATATATATATATATACTAGTCATTTACCCGCGCAAAGCGGCGGGCGACAAATAGTTGGTTTCGACAATTAATTTCTTTTCGATGGAGAATGATTATTTTCAATTCAATCATTAGTTTGTTTTATGAAACATGTCATATCAAAAATAAAGAAAATTCATGAAATTACCAAATTATAGGGTGTTCAGTATTTATTTGGATGAAAAAAGATTTAGCCAAAACTTTGGAAGAGAAGATTTATAGAAGTTTGTTTAAATTTTAATATTATTTTATTAGTGATTAGTTGTACAATTAAGTTAATGATTTGGACGTCTTAAAAAAATTATTATTTTATTCAATCTATTTTTAGAAATAGTGGGATTTGTTTTATAAGATAGTAAAGATATATATATATATATATATATATATATATATATATATATATATATATATATATATATAGAGAGAGAGAGAGAGAGAGAGAAAGAGAGCTAAGTTCAAATGTGGATTGATATTTATTGTGTGGACGTGTGGACAGTACTTAACTGTGAGAATGAAAAAAAAATATGTTGTTTAATAATATGAATAAGTTCAATCTTATACAACTATTGTTATGATCACGCATTACCACTAAATCGTTTATAAGGTTATTATAGATTTTTTTAATTATTATCATTATATCATAATATTGTTAGAATGTTTATTGAATCGTATTTTGTAATGTAACATTTCGTTTGAAATAGAGTAATTAAATCAGTGTTGCAAAATCTCAACCAGGTCCTGATTAATCTCTGATTAATCCCTAGGTGCTACTCGATCAATTAGAGGGTGCCTAGCGATTAATCTCTACATAAACAATAAGTAAAACAGTAGAACCCGATGAAATTTTAACACTTTGAAAAAGTTATATCTCAATAGAAACTATTTGAGGTATATATATATATATATATATATATATATATATATATATATATATATATATATATATATATATATATATATATATATGGGAGGGTTCATGCGAAAATGCAAATAATTTGCGAAAAAGCGAAAACAAGAAAAATTAATGATATTGTGTCACCTCAACATTATATTTTGGAAAATAATTCATCCAAACTTTGAAATACATGATGATAATCGATGATAGATGATAAATTGTTTCATATTAGCAAAGTATGATTTTTAACATTTTTATTAAGAAAACATGAATTTAAAAATGATTAAGGACGTAAAAAAAATATAATTATCAAAACCGTCTTTAAATCTATATTACCATAACACCGTCCAATGTAAACTTACTATTTTTAATTTATTGCTAATAAATTTATTTTTTTATAGTACATGTGTTTGATTTTCACAAGATAAAATCTGTTTTCGCCTTTTCGCAAGATATTTATATTTTCGCATGAACCTACTTTTATATATATATATATATATATATATATATATATATATATATATATATATATATATATATATATATATATATATATATATATATATATATATATTAAATCTATCATACCTTAGCTACAGTAAACTACTAACTATTTTGTCAAATTCAGCCCTTCTACTACCTCTGTTTATGTATGTGTGTTCAAATCTGTCTCTAGGCTCATTTTATGACAATATTCATATTGTTTGTGTATACATGTTGCTTCTCCTTTGCCTCACCGCTTTTTTCTACAATCGAATTCCGATCTGTGTAATCCTTATTTCCCTTCTTCCAAATCGCTTCCAGTTCCCGATATCTTCCCGATTATTCTAATCTTTAACCTAATTTCTTCTACCTCATCTACTGTCCTTTCTCACTCTTCTCAAGCTGCTACGTGCAAACGCAATGTGTGTTGAACCGTCCATATCTTCCAATCACCAGTTGTCCCTGCTACGCTATCTCTTTCACATACAATCCATAAATAACAAATATCCCAACCCTAAATCGATTGAAGGAATATCGATTACGAGAGCGATGTTCTCTACAAAACCCAACCCCCCAAAAAACCTTTTTCGTTTCACTTTAATCCAGGTAACGCCGCTGAATCTCGTAATCGATTGAGAGTTTCTTTCATTTATTTGACGAGTTCGAGAGGGAAGCAGCAAGAATCAAAAACGCATACATGCATTGCTGCTGCTGCTGGTGGTGCAATGGTGTCGTATGCCGGTAGGGGTAGCTGGAGGCGATGTGGAGGTTGAAGTTTCCTCACGATATTTCTGATTCACATGTTAATTTGTCGGTCGATTGATTGGTCAACAATATCTACAGGTAATATGTTCATACTTTGGTTCCCGATCTTCAGGTCTGCGTCTGTGGTTGTTGTCGCGTTTATTTGTTTTTTTTCTTCTATTACCTTCCATTGTGATGTTTGTGTGTGTCTATTTCGATTCTCAGTTTTTTGTTTTCCTAAAGATGAATGGATGGAGATGTTGAACATCTCAATGAAGCCTAATTTAAGGTAATTTGTTTATCCTCTTTCATTTTTCTCTGAAAATTGTAGAATCTTGGATTTCATTGTTTCCTTTTTCTTTGTTGGCCATGTTATCAAATACCTGAAATTTTTGTGTTTCTAAAATCAGTGGGGTGTGTGATGGATTAAAGTTCACGATTAAAGCCTTCACTCTACTTTATCTTCTTTTTTTCAGAGACAGTAGATGACATCGATTGAGAAGAGAAGACGTGGAAGATGATAAAGGCAGCAGCTATGGTTTGCTATCTATACCACCGTCAATTTGCGATTTGCAGGTAAGTAGCTTTCATTTCGGATCTGAAATGATCTTATCAGACTCATCAATGGGTACAGAATCGTCAACAACATCTGTATGAACCTACATCCCAATCGTGTAGTTGCTGCTTCAGGAATTCTTTAATAGTCCTATCAATAATACTTTTTCTCTTCATCTTTCTCTTTTTAGTTCCAAGCTATTTGAGAAATGAAATTTAAATGTCAGTAATTTCATATTTTATTTGTGCTTTTTAGGTGGCGAGTTTGTACTCCATGGTCGTTGCTTGAAAACACTACAGGTGTAGACTTGGTAACAAAATTAGAAGTTGATTTTGTGAACTCCTATTTAATTAGTAGTCTTACCTTTATCCATTGAGATGTATTATAAGTGCTTAATTTGATTTTTTACAGCTGAAATCTAAACTAAACTTGATTTTGTGAACTCTATATAGATTGCATTCACTAAGGTCTTATTTTGGATATTTATTTATTCTATTGCACACTGCATAATAATTAGTCCACAAGGCGCCTTCCAAAGATGTTAACCCACTTTCCCTAACTAATTTTTATGATAAAAAAGAATCAATCTGAATTGAATTTATACATATCAAATATTTTATCTCATTTGGTAGGGCACAAATGTCACTTCAATTAAAGAAAATCGTAATTTTGGTTTGACATTTTCCATTACATTATCAGCTGTGATAGGTGGCTATAATAACAGATGCTTTTTTTAGAGGCTCCTGTGCTTTTGTAGTTGCTAATTCCACTCTCCATTTGCTTTTTTTCCTACATTCTTTCATTTGCTTTCATTGAATAAAAAATCTTTTTTTTGTTTTTGCTTTAAAATGCTAAGAGTATATATTTGGTGGATGAAGCGAAGGAAACAGGAGGGACTAAGTATGAGGAAAGAATTGAAACATGAAAAAGGTATACTTATGAATCCATACATTTTTAATAACTTTCTATACAAATATCTTTTACTATGGATTATATAAAGCAACATTCTAATTATGATGTCTTTTTAGTTTTTACAATTGTTTGGTCAAATCGCAGGAAGTCATTGACAGGTTAAGGATTGTGTTCATAGTGATCGTAGCAGGAAAGGGTATTACATCAATTAGGTTCCTGTAATTTTTAAGGTAAGGGCATTTTAGTCCTTTTTTTTCAATTTAATTCATTTCACTTTTAAAAAAAAAATGATTAAAAAAAAACTTTTAAAAAAATTGATTTTGATATATATGATATTTTAAATGATAAAGAAGGGATTTCAGTGATCAAGTCTATAATTAAATCCAGAATTACGAGTTTGGATACTTAACTCTACTAAAATATTATATGTATATTTTTTTTATCTATTCACAACCCACCTATAAAGAATGGGTCTGCTATGGATTTCAAAACTAACAATGTTCATGCATTCTAAATTTTTTGAAGTTATTCATCAATTATAATCATTAATTGAATCTTCAAATCCAAAAAAAATTAGCTAATGGTTGACAATTGCAACAATTAATCGCGGGAAAGGTTAATGATTGTGTTGAGAGTGAACCATACTAAGTAGTATAAAGATTGATGAATTGTCTGAGGCAGGTAACAAGAAAAAGAGGTTAACAGTTGGCACTGTGGAAGCTAGAAGTGTTGACGAACCCGTTCACAACATTAGCAAAAAGGTAGCTGGCTTTATTGTATGTTGTTTTTGCAAAAGAGGTAAATGCTTCTCTCATGTCTTAACATAATTAAACAGTATCACTCCAATTTACAATGAAGATTGTATGTATGTTATTGCTAATCCATTAAACTTCCATATTCTGATGTGTTTATAAAATGAAACAAAGAATATGAATCAGTAGACTTCGACAAATCTAACTTCATTCTTCCCCAGTAAGCAATATTTATTATTATTTTTTTCAATTTATGTTGATTTTATGTGTTTATGTGTATTTATATAGATATTTTATAGTGATTTTATATTCCTTTTAATCTTTGCAGGCCCTTATTATCAAAATTATGATATCTCTTGAAAGGAAACATTTTTTTACATTTGGGGATGTAAGTGTGTATTTACATGTATAGGTGTGTGAATCAGTCTATATATATGGATTACTGCACAATCAATCTATATTTGCTTCATTAAATTTTATTTGGGTTGATGGATAACTTTTTTATTTGGCTTACCTGGTAGAACATCTACAATGTAAGGATGAATTTGATATATGGTTAATTGTAATTTATGATAAACCAAGCTCATGTTTCACATGGTATAACTTTTGGAAACATGGCAAAAAAATCAATCCGATCCAATCTAATGATTTTAAAAAAGCATTTCCGAACGTGGGCCATTTTCCTAGTTAGTGTTATATTAATCATACTAACCTATTTTTTTTATGATATTAGTGATATTTACGAACTTTTATAAGATATTAGTCGTATTTAGTTTTTTAAAATTCAACAAATTATCAATCAATGGTCCCTGATTAATCTCTACCGAACCAGTTAATCTCTAAACCCCAGTCCACCGACTAGCTAACGTCCAACAATTTTTATAACCATGAATTAAATACTAAACCCAGAACCCCAAGATGTAAATTTATATTTTATATTATTTTATAGTGGCCTTAAATCCATAATATTGAGTGGGGTGTTGGTTTCGGGGAGCCAAACAATATAATTTTGACTTTCAGGGGTTAAAGTGTAATTTTGGGATTTAATTTGTGAAGATTTTCAGAAGTTGGTGGGTGTTTGGTAAAATGTTGGATTTAAATTGAAAGGATTTTCGAATGTTGAGGGTTAAATGGTAACTTCTGGGACTTGAATTGTTATGAATCTTGGATGTTGGGGGCTGCTTTGTAAATTGTAGCTTTAAATTCAAAAAGATCTCATGGGGAGGGACCAAATGTGTAAAATGTGCGTAAGTTTGAATGGAGCGGGACTTAAACCCGTGCCTCCCCCCCTCGTCGCATCTCCAAACCCTAAACCTAAGACATCATCTTCAGCCACCGCCATGCATGACCCTTTCAGCCGCCACCTCTCTTTTTTCTCGTTTTTCCGATCGGACAAGGCTGCCAAGCGGCTACCTCGCCACAAAAACGTTACCTCCACACCTACTGTCGGACGTCGTGGGTCACCGGAGAAGCTGCCAAAGACCAAAGATATAAGTTGGGGATGTCGTTGTGCTTTCCGCGAGCGATCAGAAGGCTCTCGGTATGCCAACAACATCTCACTCCTTCGTTCCTCCCTAGGGATTCGACGTCAGACCCGTCGTTGCCGTCAGAAATGGCTTTTAGTTTCCATTTCAACTTGTTCCAACGCCACCAGCCGCCTAGTCAGTGGTTGGGAGCTATGGTCTCGTGTCGTGTATGCATATGTGTTGTTGTTGAACCCGAGATGTCTTGTGCGAGTGTTGTTATCAAGAAACCAAGGAAAAGAACCACCATGGCCGCCAACCATGGTGCCCACCGCCTAATGCCATCTTCCGTCGCCACTAGCCACTGTGGAAGGTGGTTGTGTGCATGTTTTACTGTGTATCTAGGTGTGTGTTGGTGTATTATGTTGTATGTATGTTGTTTGGCCGGAAAAAACTCGTCACCGCCGTGAGGTGGTGGTTGCCACTTCATGTCGCCATTCTGCCGCCACCAGCCGCCACCTTGGGTGGCTCTGTGCTTTTGTGTGTTTGATTGTTATTTTGGTATGCTTGGACATTTTTAGCCAAAAATCATAACCACCACCACAAGGTGGTGGCCGCCGTCGTGAGCCGTCGTTGACCACCACTACCCGAGGTAGTAGTGGGTGATGCCCGACTTAATTAACATTAATAAACCTAAAACTTAACCAATTGACTAATTGGCACACGATTGGGTTGGAAACCGTAATTAGGATTTAGAAAACTCTAATTTTGGACATATTGGTTTTGGAGTTGTCGGGGCCCGCGTTTGGACCACTAGATTTGGAATTTTGAATTACGCCCTATCACGTTGCATGTTTGGTCTAGTGGAGTGATGGAATTAATGTATTAAGTCCTTGATGGGTTAAGTAAGAACACTTAACCCTAATCATCATTTTATGTGAAAACCCTAATTTTGTTTGGGCCTAGAGTTGGGCCTTTCTGTTGGGCTTTGGTGATTTAGCCATTGATGGGCCATGTAAGAACAAGTATATGGACTAGAATATTTAGATGGGCTTTAGGGTAAGGCCAATGTAAGGGGTTTGGGCCCAATTTGGAAAATTAGGCCATAACTGGACCTTGATGATTATGAGATATTGGACCATCGGAATGCCAAATTTTTGGACTAGGATATATGGTTGGGCCATAAGATAAGTCCATGTAGAGTTTTGGGCCCAATTTTGAAGATTAGGTCATATGTTGGGATTTGGTTCATTGTTTGACTCTTAGTCCTTTGGATTGGGCCTTGGTCTTGAATCAAGCTAAGTTAGGGGTAAAGTAGTCTTTTACCCCCAAGCATGGACTCATGGTTAGGTGTTGGAACCCAATTATTAATTGGGTGTTGTTTTGATGTTGACAGTTCGTGAATCTATCAACAAGCAGCTGGATTTTTATTCGCGGGACTTCAGGAGTGCTAGGTGAGTCTCCTCACCATACCATTGGGTTGAAGGCACCAAAGCCAGACCATTTTGTGATATGTGGTACACTTGTTGATGTAGTGTTATGTGGTATGATAATTGTTTATGTGATATTACATGAAAGACCGTGGGGGAGCCCATAACACTTGGATATAAGACCATATAAGGGAGCTTATGGCTTTCAAAGTAACGACCATGGTGGGAGCCCATGGCACTTAGATGTCATACCATGTGGGGGAGCCCATGGAATTCCAAGTAAGACCATGGGGGAGCCCATGACATATAGGTGTAAGACCAGAGGGGGAGCCCACGGCATCCTGGAGTAAGATCATGTAGGGAGTCAACGACATCCTTATATATTATTATATGTGTTACGTAGTATGATAGTTATGTTATGTGATATGTGGTATGCTTGTTGACTCTGTGTTATTTACATGGAAGACCTCGGGGGGAGCCCGTGGCAGTTGGATAGCAGACTATGGGGGAGCCCATGGCATTCCAGGTAAAGACCATGGGGGAGCCCATGGCACTTGGTTGTCAGACCATGTGGGGGAGCCCATGGCATTACAAGTAAGACCATGGGGGAGCCCATGTCATATAAATGTAAGACCCTGGGGGGTCCCATGGCATCCTATAGTAAGACCTTGGAGGGACTCCACGACGTCATTATATTTTTTATATGATTGACTTGTATATGCTAGATAATTATGTGACATATGGTACGCTAGTTATTTATGAGATATGTGATATTCTAGTTGTCTTTGTGATAATTAAATGGAAGACCCCGATGGGAGCCCGTGGCAGTCGGATATCAGACCATGTGGGGGTGCCCATGGCATTCCGTATATGTTGTATACATGGCTTGTATGGTTGATATGATTTATGTGATTATGTGGATTGTGTAGGGTATGTTATGGGGAACTCACTAAGCTTCATGCTTACAGTTTTGTTTATGGTTTCAGGTATCATTGGTTTTGAAAAGAAGGGACTAGTTTGATCGCAACGCACACACCTGTGTTTCCGCAATATGTTATTTTGGGATGAACTCTGATAAATGTTTTTAATTAACCATGTTTTTGGAATGTTGGGAGTTAGAAGATATTTGTGCTTGACTATAATAAAAATAAAATTTTTTCCCTTGCTTTTTGGGTCATTACAAGTTGGTATCAGAGCCTTGGTTTGAGGGATTCGAACGTACTTTCGGGTGTGTCTGAACTCAAACTGAGGATCTGTAAAGTTTTCAAAAGAAAAATGTTTCCAAGGAAAGAGTTTTCTAAGAAAAGAAAGGGTATGGTGCATGCAATCAGCCGAGCTCAAGTAAGTTTCCCCATAATACCCATATATGTTATCTGTTATGACTTGACTTATGAATCTGTGAATCATATGCTAGTTAGGGGTAGGAGAGATGCATTTATATGTTGTATGAGTTGGTAGACTTTCATGCTAGTGCTGAGTAGTCAACGATAGATTAGCCTGATATGTGGTGCTTGTAGCCTTAGGAATATTGGATGCCATGCTAGAATGAAAATGATTATTGGTATTAGTAACTGCTAAGTGTATGCTTTTAAAATTGTATACGGTTAGGATCTTATATGCTTATAATAATTAATTTGGCCTTATTTCATGTTCCTTATCTGGTTGTGTACCTAAGTTAGAATCTATTATTTGACAGTCTATTAGATCCTGTTCTGTGTATAATTTGCACACATAAGGCAGCTGACAGTGAGGATGGATGGATGTGGATAGCATGAGTTGTGGTATGTGGGTTGAATTTTCTATGATAGTTCTTTGGATCGGAGTACTACTACATGAATGTTGCTTGCTTTATGCTTTGTGGAACTCTTGACTGATGGGAGTCAACTACTAAGTGAATATGAGGATATTTAGGAGGTGGATGGCTGGTATCATGAGGAGTCTTCAGCAGCTGATGGCAGGGCGAGGTTGGGAACTTAGGAAATCCTAGGATATGATCGAGTGAGTTTAGTGGGACGGTTCGGTGAGGTTGGGAACCTAGGAGTTGCTTCAGTGGGTATCGTGTTGTTGTTTAGTGGATATTTGGTGCATCGGTGAAGTAGGTGACTTAGAGGATTCGGGAGGATTGCTGAGGAAAGTATGGATAGGTGTGGAAGGTAGTATTAGGCCCGTACTACTGAATGCAAAGGATCCATACTCGAATCGGTGAGATTCTTGGAGAATCTAAGGAGCTTATGAGAAGGATAATGCTTGAGTATGCTCTGATAGTGGGGATAGTTGATTTGCCAGATGAGGATGAGCACACATAGGAGAAGGACCATGGTTTGGTCCCGGCTCCAGTGGTGAGCCAGTTAGTGGAAGGACTGCTAGGGTTTTGAGTTTGCCTTGGATCTCTTGTATCAGGTGGAAAGGATTGATTGTGCGATCTATTGCACTTTCAGGATTGTAGACTATGTCTTTGGGGGTAGTTAGTAGCCCGGTTTTGAGCAGAGGTTGCTCCAGCTATTGCAGTTCAGCCATTGACGATTGAGCTGGTGAGTGGGTCAAGGTGCGAGACCCTGAATGATATGGGTCCTAGAGCCCGAGGGTGGAAGATCAATTAGGATTACCTTGATAAGAGAGGTTCAGGTCATGTGAATTTATTAGAGGATCTCAGGAAGAGACCCAAGAGTTCGGATCAGCTTTTGAGAGGCCAGCAGGGTCGGATTCAGTCTAGCACTTGCGAGAAACTGCACGATGGAGTTTTCGTTCCAAGGGTTTGGGTAAGTGTACCTTTGGGTTTGTTTCCCTGCTTGTGTTTGGGTTATACCTTCAAGGATTATCATATGCCAATTGCATATCGTGAGTTACGGGGTGGTTAGTGAAAGGTCGTTTACCTCTTTGATGGTTTGGAGCGTTCAACGTTATCCAGGTCTATGGTCGAGATTCATTCAGGGACATGATGCGGAAGGTCTACCGTCAGGATTGGTGACTCAGCCATTGTGCTTGGGTCGGCTTTTGGAAGCGCCAGGGGAAGTGGTCAACTGCGGAGGCTTTAGTCTGGGCATCGGTTATTTGGAGTTCAATATATAAGTGTGGCATCATTTCAAGGCGTCTAAGATTATTAGTTTCGCTAGGATGCGGAAAGTGCTTGTTTAATCTGTAGGAGTTGTGTGGTCTTTGGAGTTTGGGCCAGTAATAGAACACTAGCATGGGTAAGCACATGTTGTCAGCAAATTGGTTATTTAAGAGTAAGAAGGATTGGGAATACTTCAAATCTCATGTACTGCGAAGACTTAGTCTAATCTAAGTAGGGGAGAATCGTACAGGTATTCAGGACAGGAGCAGGTATGAGACCGTGATGAATTTCTCATCCCCATCGAGGAAATGGCGGCCCAAGTGGCTATTTGGTTTAAGGGTTATGCGAGTTTGGAGTTCAGTAAAATTTCCCAACATGTGAATTGCGTCTTCTTGGTGCTTGATAGCAGAATTTGGGGAAGTAGGTTGGGGTTCCAATCATGAAATGAGTTTAGTTGGGTGTTCGGTCGAGTGTTGTAAGACTACATGGGATTCGTAGCATTCACTAATGGACAGTTAGGTTGAAAGTGTTGTAAGACTACGTGGGAGTCGTAGCATTCACTAATGGTCAGATATGGGGAAAGTGTTGTAAGACTACGGAGGAGCCATAGCATTCACTAATGTTCAGTTAGGGTGAAAGTGTTGTAAAACTACGGGGGATCCGTAGCATTCACTAGTACTCAGATAATGTGGAAAGTGTCGTAAGACTGCAGGGGAGTCGTAGCATTCACAAGCGGCCAGATAGTGTGGGAAAGGCAGAAAGACTATAATGTAGCTGTCACATTTACATATTCGTTTAGATGACATAAGGCCAGGGTGGGCCAGTTCGCAAGGTTGTGAGTAGGTCACAACATA